TTTTGATTCCTGATGGGAATTGTTCCTGAATGCCTTTTCAGGCCACCTCATCTGTGAGCCTGAGCCAGTGGCTCTTACCATCAATGGACAGTAAATCTCTCACCTTTGACCTCAGAGGGAATTTGGCAGCTATCACTGCCTGAGAGGTAGCAGATAGCAGCATATCCTCAGCACAGTGGTACAGCACCTCTTGTGGAAAATGGGAAGATAAGCATCAAAGCCACTTGCCTACCACTGCTGCCATCAATAATGTCCCCAGAGAAAGCAGCCAGCAGTGGGGAGGCAGGTAAGCGAAACCTCCCTGCCTTTCCCTGTCCTCCTTCCTGCCACTTTGTCACATAGAGTCTGAAAATAGCTCTTCCTCGATATTGATCACTCTGGAAATGTTAGCTCAGCACACATTCACTTGGGCTAATGTTTAATAGGTAAGTTCTCTCAAAAGGAAGTAAAGCCTGTTGACAAACTTCATGTGAAGGGGAAAGGCACAAGGGGTGACAGCAAAGGACTCTAACATACACCAGGCAATCTTTGAAAGTGAAAAATTGCAGTTTCCAAGGGAAGTACCTTAAAAGTATCACAGAAGGCTACAAAAATACACAAAGTTTGGAAAGAATCCTTCCTAGGGAAGGGTGGGCAGGTTTTTACTCCTGTCCTTTCAAACCCCTCCCCTGTGCAGGTTGCGCAGGACGGAGGCTGCTGGGGAGTCAGGCCCACAAGCTGCGAGCAGCGTGCTGTGGCCCGAGACACCGCAGGCACAGCGAGCAATTGGAAAAGCTACAGGGCTGATGGTAATGGTGATATGGTGAGCCGGACTCACTGGCTTTAGAGGAAGGCATATGAATTGGACTGCCTGAAACTGATGAGAGCAGAAGAAACGGCGTACTAACAGTAAAGTGCACAAAGCAAGAGACACCTGATTTTTCAGCCTTCATCTTCTGTTTGTACTTGTTGGCTATGCCCACTGGGGCTTATCTCACAAGCTGACAAAGTGCTCGTATATGGGCTACTACCTTTTCCAGAGTTAAAGTATAGCATCAGGCAGTGCGCTGCTGTTAGTGCATATGCCCTTGGTTTGTGATGACTGGAAACTAATGGATGTACTAGCAACGAGGAGTATACTTGACAGCTCAGGGATCTGAGTCTCTGGGATACTGCATGCACCACTAGTCACAAGCTTGGCACTCCAGAAAAAGCAAGCAGTATCTCAGAGAAAGGTGAGAAGAGGCCTCTGTGATGCAAGATCAGTTAAATTCACTAAAGTGATTCTAGCTAACAGAGAATATAAGTGCAATGTTAGAAAACACACGACTTTTTTTTTTTTTAATGCTGAAAGAACTAAGAAATCTATCCATCCTTTAGGTAATACTGAATGCTAAAAATATGAACTGTATGAACCCACACTGAAATAGTTGCTATGTAGGCTGAAAAAGGCTTTGTAGCTTTCAACGTGACTGAAGAAAGACGAGGGAGACACAGCTAAGGTCAGTAGGAATCAGCTGCAAATGGAAAATACGGGCTTTGAATGCAATCAGGAAAAATACAGCCTGAGTCCAAGTGGGCTTCGCTGAGCAGGGGTAGGGTGTACAAGTGTGGCTGGCCTAGGACAGTTGGGAATGGGCTCTGGAATGCTCCCATGGTGACTTGTGTGGCGACCCAGTTGTCCTGGTTTTGGCTGGGATAGTTAATTTTCTTCCCAGTAGCAGGCATAGTGCTGTGTTTTGGATTTAGTATGAGAAGAATGTTGGTAACACTGATGTTTTAGTTGTTGCTAAGCAGTGCTTACACTGAGTCAGGGACTTTTCAGCTTCCCCTGCTCTGCCAGGGGCACAAGAAGCTGGGAGGGGGCACAGCCAAGACAGCTGATCCAAACTGGCCAAAGGGCTGTTGCATACCATATGGCACCATGCTCAGTATAGAAACTGGGGGGGAGTCCCTGATTGCTGCTCAGGGACTGGCTGGGCATTGGTCAGCAGGTGGTGAGCAATTGCGTTGTGCATCACTTGTTTTGTATATTCTTTTATCACTATTATTATTATTATCTTCCTCTGCTGTCATATTGTCGTCTTTATCTCAACCCACAGGTTTTACTTTTTTTACTTAATGTACATTTGATTCCTGCATCCAGATCATTTATAAAAACATTAAAGAGCACTGGCCCTAAAATAGAGCCCTGAGGAACCCCACTGGTGACTGGCTGCCAGCCTGATGCAACTCCATTTACTCTCACTCTACCTTACTAAGTTGTTTGTTGTCAGGCCTTTCTTACGGAGATCCAGAAAGAACCTGGCACCATCTCTCTCTCACCTCACTAGCCTCCCTGGTGCAGAACAGGAGTGGGAGAGAGGAAAAGATGGATCGAGAGGCAAACAGAGGAGTGTGGAGAGTAAAAGAGGGATGAGGAGCCAGAGAGAGGGTGGGTGGAAGAGACAGATGGAGGTGGACAGACGGATAGGGAAAATGAGGGATAGCTACGTGGACAGAGGCATGGGAAGAGAAAGAGACTATGAGCTGGACATAGGGATGAGGAGCTGGATGGAAGGAGGGGAAAGAGAAGGACAGAGGGCCAAACAGAGGGATCAAAGCAGAGGAAAGCAAAAGAGGGATGCAGAACCTGGGACAGAGAGAACAACAGGGATGGGGATCAGCAGAGATGGCTAGAAAGACAAAAAGAGAAATAGGCAGCAAGTGAGAGAAAGAGAGGTGGATTGCTAGTCAGACAGAGGGACAGGGAACTGAAAAGAGGGATAAAAAGGGAAAAGGGGAACAGGGAGCCAGACAGAAGGACAGGGAGTGGAAGAGAGGGATGTTGATGTGGCCAGAGGGATGAAAAAGGAAAAAACAGGAATGGGGACCCAGAGAGAGGAAAAGCATTTTGTAGAGTCAGATAAAGGGACGGGGAACTGGAGGGAGGGATGGGGAACAAAAGACAGGAAATTAAGATGAGATTGAGAGGCTCAGAGGGACAGGTAACCAGATTCATGGAGAGAAAATGAGGGATGGAGAACCACAGAGAAGAACACATGGAGTGGAAATGAGCGTCAGGGAGCTGGACAGAGGTACGGGGAGCCAGGCAAAGGGAATGGAAAGGCAAAGAGAGAAATGGAGAGGTGGATAGAGGGATGGAAAGGGAAAGAGAGCAATGAAGAGGTGGACAGAGGTTGGAAGGCCAAAGGGATGGGGAAGACAGATGGAGAGCCTGATTGAGGGATGGAGAGAAAAAGAGAGATGTGAAGGTGGAATGAGGGGTGGGGAGAGAGAGAGAAGGTTGGAAAGCTGGAGAGACAGGAAGTGGAAGAGAGAGATTTATAGACCCAGACAGAAGGATGGGGAGGGGAGGAGAGGGAAAGGGAGATTAAAAGTCAGGCAGAGGACAGGAAGGATGCACAAGCAGCAGGATGGGGCAGGGATTAAGAGGGACTGGAAAGGGGTAAAGAGGGACTCGAGTAGGAAGAGGAAGAGGGACAAGCAGAGAAATGGAGAGAAGGTAGGGATGAAGAACAGTGCAACAGAGAGATGGAAGGAGGGACAGGCAGAGAGGCAGGCAGCCATGGGAAGGGGTGGGCATGCACAGGGGGGCAGGGAAGGACTGGATCAGGGAAGAAGGGGGCACAGACCAAAGGGCCGGGGACTCACTGCGTGTTCTGTTATCAGCACTCCCCAGAGAATTTTACAATTCAGCTGTTTCTATCACTTCCTGTTTTGTAGCTCCGGTCACTTAGCTAACATCCACTTAAGAAAATAACTTGGTGTCTTACAGACCTTTGTAAGACTTCATTGATGCATAAAATCATATACACACAAATATATGTATGTATCATACTTTCTGTTATATGTAAAGCTTGAATGATACATTGGTGATCTATTATCCTAATGACTACTAATAGTGATCCTTCCTCCCTCGGAGAAACAGGTTTTCTCTTGTTTGGAGATAGAAGTGGTTTGATCTGCTTAATTTTATTCTTCAGTGTCTGTGGGCCCTCAGCATCCATGGGGAGGGGAAATGTGCCCAACATGCTGCCCCTGTGCATCATGCATGCGTCAGCCAGGAGAGAGGGGTGTGCTGGAAGAGGCTCCTGAGCACCGCGCATGTGCTAGCTGCCAGTGGCACAGGAGAAGGAGCGGAAGTAGCAGCTGTGAGAAGCAGACAGAAAAGGAAATGGCACCCTCACAGCACGGTACCACACTGGTCCCACCCTAGCGCTTGCAGCGCAGCCGACTCGCACGTATACACGTTGCAGCCGGCCATATGTGCTGCGGAACCGTGGCGTGCCAGAGAGCAGGGTGTACCGCAGTACGGCTGTGCAAATAGCGCAGCGCTGAAAGCGGCTGCGGGGAGCACCAAGCTGCCAGCCGTGCCTGGTTGCAATCAAGGGAGAGCCGCACTGAGCACCTTGCCGCAGGGCGCACGCGTGAACCCACTCACTGCAGTGCATGAAGGGAAGAGTTTCTTCCGAGCTTTATTCAGGAAAATTCAATGTTGAAGTAGTATTGCTTTTGGAGGAGGGGTTGTGGAAGGTTAAGTTTTATATAAAGCCAAAGAAAAATAAATCTTTGGTACAAATAAGTAACAAAATTCATGTAGTAGACAGTTGTGGTATTTATCTACAACAGTCAACAATACAAAGAAATTAGATATAAAAGGTTTCTTGGTCAAAAGCTTACTACGCATTTGGAACATCTATTCCCTTATCACAAGAGTGATCAAATACAAAGAAAGTAAGTGTAAAGCTTTCTGGCTTTCAAGAGCTGCCATGATCATAAGACTGAAGAAAAAAAACCTATCAAGTTTGTTCTCCAGAACAGATATTTGAATAAAACAAAGACTTATGAAAAAAAACTACGCTCCACCACGAAGCATTGGGATAAAAAAAGAATGCAGCAGGTATTTAAATCTTTCCTTATGTTTCTTGTACGTTTTGAGGAAGTCCGTCTCTGGGAAAAGTGAGGTCAGTTTGCAGATACTATCTAAGGAACAGAAAGAGGCAGGGGGGAAAAAAAAATCTCAGAGATGGGATCATTTTGTATTCATTGTACCACACAGTGACTGAAAACAATATTCCTGGAGAGAAAACCAAACTCTCTCCTCAGAGAGCGCCCTGAAGCCTGAACATCTTCAGGAAATATTTATACCCCTGGGTTTTCCCCCCTGCCCCTATGTTCTTAGTTGGTATTTCTCTGAGGGAGAGGGAGGCTCTCATGAAGATACTTCATGCTCCCATGCTCTGAGAAGTCAGAAACAACATGATTATCCCCCCTCAGCAACCACTTTGTAGTTAAGAGTCCTTCAATTCCCACAGGTCCACGTGCATGGATACGAGAAGTACTAATTCCCACTTCAGCACCTGCAGGAAACACGCAAGATAAAGGTAGTTAATCCTCAGAAGATGTTCACTTCATACTAAGCAGTTTTACACCTTTATGTAAAAACAGCTGCCTGCCTTTCAGTGACCTGCCTTTCTCTGCTCCTCTCCAAATGCCAGAAGTCACGTTTATCTGTTCTGATTAAAAAGTTTGAGGAGCTTAACTATTACATTATGAATTGTAATGTTTGTACTTCTGGCTGCTACAGAGTTACTTTTAGAGAGAAAGATGCAAGAGAGATAGGTTATCTCTTACATGGATCTTAGACTTGTCTGGTGGTGCATCCCACCCCCTGCTTTTCTCTCTTTAACTGCTTTATGACCTCAGGAATTCCTGCCAGACCACGGCCTTTGAGTAGTGAGTTGGTCGGTTAGGTGCCCCTTAATTGCATCAGAAACTCCTATATAATTGAAGCGGAGAGCGGCACTGTCCTTGTCAGAAACTCCGTATTATGGCTGAGGCGGGGAGCGAGAACAATCAGTTACTCTGACAGCCCTGAAACGTAACTGAGTGGAGCAGTATCATTGTTACTGGAATTGCAGTAATTACCGACCCGTATTGTGGCTCAGATGGAAATTTATAGAATCACAGAATCGTTTAGGTTGGAAAACACCTTTAAGATCATCAAGTCCAACCATTTACTGATGACTGAAGCCAATCATCTTACGATCCTATAAACCATCAGTCCTAAGTGAGGCCCTTGGAGCTCTCCTGGACGGCAGCGGGCTGCACCAGCACCTCCCTCTGAGTGAGACGCCTCTCAGAGCTAGCAAACTTCTACAGTTTGCTAAAATTGGAGGTCCATTGCCAAAGACTGACAGTGGAGCCTGGGCTGAAACCCTTCACTGCTTGAGGCTCAACCCTTGCCTGTTGAGAAATGCGAAGACATTCGACATAAGTATTTCACTGAACTCGAGGGGAATTTTTAACGGGTATACCTTTATATATATCCATATATAAACGTATATAAAAATATATATATTCGTGTCTGTGTGTATGCATGTGTAAATCAATTTAAGTAGTCTGTAGATGTATGATTTAATTACAAAGTCAGTCTTATACTGCTGCTAGATACATACACATATATTATCATCTTTATTCACATAAACTGTTGACCAAGTCTGAGACTAAGATTGGACATAGCCACACCTAGACTCCTCTCTGAAAAGGAGTTTAGAAAGCAAGGGGGTCTATTCTGAACCTCGTGACTCAACGGGAGGGTCCTCCTTATCCCCTGTATCCACGATCTCTCTGTGAATCACTAACTCAAGTGTAACTGCATTTCCCTTTGTGCATTTCTTCCATGTAGTAATAGAGTGAACCTTGCCATCTTCAAATCTTTAACTAAGTTGCTGTTTTGTTTTGATTAATTTTGTCTAATCACTTTGTTAATCGACTGATGATTGAGTGCTATTAAAATATCACAACAAAATCCTGTGATTTGCCACAAGTAAATCCTACACTGCTACTAAATCAAACTGTGTGAAGTCACTCATTCACAACAAATTAACATAGTCAGCAGGATTCACAAATCTGCCTTCACATCAACTTGTTTCCTGAGGGTTTAATCCTTAAAGGGGAAAAAAAGAAAAAAAGAGCTAAATTAGCTAAGACTGTGATCTGATGCCCTTTTTTATCATATTGAGGAGAGATTGCAAAACCCTAACTAAAATTTTTTAATCACATGGAACACTGAATGTTCCAGCTGACACAGTAACAGCCTGCTATGGAGATTTCTGAGTTTCTACCTCAGGAAAGAATGTTCCCCTTGTCTTCTGCAATTCACGGTAGGCGCACCTGTTTATTTAAGCAAATGATACTCAGTTTGGTTCCTGCCTTTCATTCCTCAATACTGCAGGGCTGGCACACTGGATAGCAGCTCAGTCTGCCCAGCAGGA